CCTTCCTTCCTTCCTTCCTTCCTTCCTTCCTTCCTTCCTTCCTTCCTGCCTGCCTGCCAGAAATGTGTGTGGGTGTTTTGCCTGCAATGTACAACTGCTGCAGTGGTTACAGATGTTGGAAGAGTTCATCAGATTGCCTGACCTTAGGTTTGCAGACTGCTGTGAGCTGCCATGTGGGTGCTGAGATTTGAACAGGGTCCTCTAGAAGAGCAGTCAGTACTCTTAAATCTGAGCCATCTCTCTAGCCCCCTAGGTGAGGGGCTGGATCATACATAAGAGTTGCAGTATATATATAAGGGTAACCTGGAGCTCACTATGGAGCCTCGGTTGGTTTAGAACTCATGATCCTTAACCTCCTGAATGCTGGCATTTCAGGCAGGAAACACCACACTCAGCAAAGCATATTAGCTTGTTCCTGTTTTCTTACACCCACGGGGATAAAAATCCAGAGTCTTGTGCATGGTGGGCAAGTGCTCCACCATGAAGCTGTCCCAGCCCTCAGAATACTTTAAGGCACATATCCTCTCACAGTAAAATATGAGCACTAAAACTGAGTGAACAAAGCCTTCCCAGGGTGGCCTTTCCTTACTTCTCCAGTCTCTCCGGACTCCAGCAGTACCTATCATGTGTACCTTTTAGGATGTGCCCACTTGTTTTTTCTCTTCGCCATTCACTCTTCTCTTCCACATATGCTTGTTTCTCAAAAGCCTCTTACCCACTGTCTAAACCATTTAACTGCTATAACTTGACTTTTTAAACTAGTATAATATATATTCTACTAATGCTATCTGGTCCCTTGTATATTTTTTACTGGATGTATAATAGTCTATTACCTGAATAGAACCATAATTTCCTGAGATATTTCACTCATTTTTGGAATTCAAAATTATTTCCAATGTTTCATGAATATAAATGGATGTTATGATAAACACAAAGTTTGCTATAATAAATATACTTAGCACAATAGAGATTTTTGGTATGACATATTTTATCAAGCTAACTGTTTAGACACAGGGTGGTGGAGTTAAAGATTACAGGTATTTTTGCTTTCTAAAACACTGCCTTGTTTTCCAAGGATCTACACTTAACTCTCTGCTCCTGCTGTAGTGCCAAGCCCTGCACTTGCTGCTGCGCCTGGCGCAGGTTAACAATACACACTTCATCATTTACTGTGTACTTGTCATGTGTAACACTTTTATGTCCATAAAAAAAACCAACAGTATTTTTACTTGTATAATTTATTGTTACTTAAAAGATCACTTCTACTTAAAATCTTTCCTTATCTGTTATCAAATAAAGCAGAATATATCTAAGTTTTAAAAGTTCTTACCTGTGTAGTGGATGTGGCTTGATTTTGGGTTTTTCAGAGATGGAGGAGAGAGTTTTAATCTGAAGTTTGGATGTTGGGGATACGTCCAAATCTTGGCTGAGCTCACCTTCAGTTTTCTTAATGAACTCATCATACGTCTAAATTTGGAAAAGTTTGAGAAGTTATTATGCAGAACGTTCTAAAAGGTATTTTAAATCATAAGAATATTTAAAAGTTTTGAATAGCATAATTTAAATATTTAACTAGTAAAAAGACAGAATATAAAGATTCCCTCCTTGCTCCCTGTCATATCTTCACCTCTGTAGAAAATGAAGCAAGAAATTATAATTTCAATAAAAAAATTATGAATAATAATCACCCAGGCATGCTGAAATCTTTAACTTGTTGTATGCTATTTTCTACAGTATACACTATTATTTTATGGCTTTGGGGGGGGGGGGCCGCATGGGGGATTGAGGTTAGTAGCTTTAGCTGATCTGGAAGAGTCCCACCTGCCTCTGCCTCCTCCTAGTGCTGGGACGTTATGTTGTTTTGTTTCTGAGTTTCACTGGCTGTAAACTTCTTAAGAAATAGTACTTGGGGGAGATTGAGTATCATCAATCAGAAGGTCGGAATCACTAACACTGCTGCCTGGTTATTAAAATGTCCACTCTTTACTAACAGCCAGAGCTTCAATACTTTGTAGCTATTACTAGTAATACATTTACGATGGACCCTCTATTACATGTCTCTTCCATTTGGAGGGTAAACTCACTTGTGTAAGTCTACTAGATACAGTAGCTGAAAATAAAAGCTCAGCACTTTTTATTCAGGCTGTAGCTATGTCTGGCCTAAACTAGATTGTCAATAAATCTTTATAGAATGAAAGAATGATGGATGGATCCTTGCTAATTGTCGCAAATTTTTAATGTCTGGGCTAAAATCCCTACTAGACTGGTAGATAACTCTTATCTTCCATATTATCTTCATCAGAATTATCAATATTTTGACAAATTCTAGTATTAATCACTAACTAAATATATATAGCACGCTGGCCCATCTAGATAGGTCTATATAGAAGGTATAGCTACTCAGATCTGAAAGCAATACTGATCTAATTTTAGTTTATTTATTAAATCTGTGACCAATAAAGTCCAATAGATCTTCTTTCATATAAATTGCCATGTATATTTATTTCTCTATGACATAATATGATTTCAAAACTTAAAACACATAATTCTCATTTTTATTCAGCCGTTCAGCCAGATGCTGAATGACATGGATCATATGGTACTTTTTCTAGAGATTTTCCATCAATGGAATATTTTAAAAATTTTTCTAACATTTTTTTGAGACAGGATTTGGTATGTGGCACAGGCTAGGCTCAAACTTGAGATCTTCCTGCCTCAAATTTCTGAATACTAGGACTAAAAACAATGAGCATTTTTCAGCAATACTGTTTATTCTTAATTTATTTCCAGTATTACTTTAATGGCTTAGAGTTGCACCTCCGACGAGATAAAGTGTAGGAGTCATTGTGTCCCTGGACGCCACCTCCACCTCTGAACTCCCCCTGCTCCCCCAAGAGCTCCCAGCACAGCCGCCATGTCTCTGCTGCTGCTTATTCTGACTTCCCTGTAGTGAGGGTTGCACTATATAGCTCAGAATGATCTAGAGCTCACTATGTGGGTCAGGTTGGATTTGAACTCTCATTTCTATTTCAGACTTCTAAGCTGATTATAGGCATGTGTGGCTATCTTAGGGCTGGCTATTTATTATAACTACTCTTCTGACTTCAAAACACTAGTTACCATGCCTGTCACCATATGATGTACCCATGCAAATGGTTATTATTTCCACATTTAATAAAAGACCTATTTTCATGAACAAACATAGAATTTGGAATTAGAAATAAATAAAAATCCTGCCTTCATCATTTATGGGCTGTGTGTCACTGGATCCTTAATCTTATTGAAACTCAGTTTCCTTATCTGTGAAACAGTGGTAATACTCATACTTTTCACTGCTATGAGGATTAAATGAAAATGCATTCAATTATCTGAGTTCCTGTCATATAAAAATAGCCATTTTAGTTTCGTAAGAAAATTAGTCAATGGGTAAAAAGTAAAAGGACAGACAATTTGGTTCAACACAGCAATGCACTTTCTCACACTTGGTAAACTTGAAGGCCTAACAATTTCAAATGGCAGAAGCTGGACAGCTTTCTCTGGTGGTGATGTGAGAACAGACTGTCATAACAGCAGGAGTTCCGATGGATTTGATGAATACCACGACTTAGGACAACTAGGCTAGGGCACCAGAGACAGGCTGTAGGGAGGCTGAGGGAAGGAAAGAATGGAAATAAAAGAAAGGTAAAAGAGGCATGGAAAAAGGGGAAGAGGGAAAGGGAGACAGACAGACAGACAGACAGACAGACACAGAGATGAGATATGTAGAAAATTCAGCCAGAGGCAGTAATAACTAAGAGACTCTGCAGATAATACAGATAAGGGGCCTGAGAACTTGAGCCAGGGCCCTAGACGAACGGAAATGGGAGTGGAAGAGAACAAAGTGGACCGTGGTAGAAGAGCAACCAGGGAACCAGCCCATAGGAGGAGACAGAAAGAGGACATCAGCAAAACCAGACAGTGTCAGGCAGACTATGGAATGCTGTAGAGCTTAGGAGGGAAGCAACCTGCAGCCAGAATTAGGAGCTGCCCTAAATTCAAATTAGCCCAAGGGTTGTGTGGCCTCCTTGCTAGAACAGAAGGGCAACAACAATCTTGATCCATCCATCTTAATGTTTTTTAAGAGATTACAGATAATCTTTATCATTACCATAATCTTTTCAAGACATAGATTTCTCTGTATAGCTCTGGCTGTTCTGGGACTCGCTCTGTAGACCAGACTGGACTTGAACTCACAGAGATCCACCTGTTTCTGCCTCCGGAGTGCTGGGATTAAAGGCGTACATCACCACTGCCTGGCCAATACGATCATCAGATATTTTTTTACTTTAATATTTAGTATTTAGTGTAATACTTTAGATATCTTCGGATTTGTTTTTAAAGATGATAAAATGTGACACTATATATAACTACTTTACTAGCAGTAAATGCCCGAGCTTCTCTTACGAACAAACCTTGGCCGCCAACCCGTCTGCCCGCCTCACCTCCAGCTGTCTGAGCAGACTGGCTTCTTGTGCTTTTAGTCTTTCCTTTTGTCTTTTTCTCTGCTCCTTCTTCAGCTGCTCCACAACTGACTTTCTCTTGCGCAGCTCATCCTTCAGAGCTCGGATCCTCCCTTCAATGTCGCTCTGGTCAGATGTAGTTTCTGAAAGAAAAAAAACTAACTCAGTAACTAATAAAGAAAGCCTACAATGCTTTCAGTTAATATTTAAAATTTAAAAATTTGAGCTTCTGAAAAACGTTATTAATAAAATGCATGCTTGCTTTCCCAAGGATCTTCCTTTCGCTTCAGTCTTCCTAATTATCTTTCTAATTTCTAATGGTACTATTCGTTTGTTTTTATTTATAATTATTGTAAAAATGAGTATGTGTGTGTATGATGTGTGTGCATGAGTGTGGATATATGTGTGGAGGCCAGGGGACAACTTTTGGGAGTTGACTCTCTCCTACTGTAAGTTCCGGGGTGAACTCAGGTTGTCAGGCTTGTGAAGCAAGGATTCTTAACTACTGAGAAATCCTGTCAGCTCACTAGTTGAAGTGTAAGTAGATTTTGAAAAACCCTATCTTAGCAAGATACATAGTTAAAGTTTACATTTTTATGTTAGAAAAATTTGTACTTTCTGTAAAAGATTATTTCTAGTAGCAAGATGTTCATATAACTGTATAACTGTCCTTCTTAGATATTAATATTAATACATGCTGTTATATTTTTAAAGTGAAATTAGGAAAAAATAAAATTTACATTTTTGAACTGTGAATCATTAACTGAAGTCTTATCATCACATAAAATAAAGAAAAATATGCCCTACTGTTTCTTTAAAAGGTTTAAAAATTACTAAAGTAAAACTGATTAAAATTTCTTTCTCCCCAGTATTTTATTTCTGCACATGAGAGGCCTAGCTATGGTCGCATCCCAGGAATACTCTGCATTACAACCTGTCATACAGAGCTTATGGAGACAAACAGGTGTTCAAAGCCACTGCTTATAGTGAGGATTCCCACACTCTTAGAATCACACACTGGTGGCATTTCTATACACCTCAGTACTCTCACACTGGAAACCTCAGACTCAGATGTGTGTTGTTTCATCTTGAAACAAGGTTATCTCAGATTAAATTACCTAAGAAACCATCGATCGAAATGCAATAAGAGTACTATCTCTTTAAAATGGTGTGATCCTAATATCTGGGCTACAAAGAAAAGCCGAGTTCCCATGATCTCTCAGCACTGACTTAACATATACTAAAACAAGCAGTGACAGGAGGAGGGCATCTGAGCATCTTTTTTACGTGCTTCCTCTTGTGGAAAAATAAGTGGCTTTAGGTTGAAAGCTCTAAGCACTTCAGGCTTTATGTTCATTTGCTGCAGTCTGTGTTAAAGGAATCATCTTTCCTAATATCCACTTCTCTGGCCTGATGAGTTATATGTTTCTAAGCCAAGAGTGGTGGCACATGCCTGTAATTCCATCCCTGGGGAGGTACAAGGAGGCCAGCCTGACCTACATGAGATCTGTCTCGAAAAACTAAGAGTTAAGCCAGGTGTAGTGGTGTACACCTTTAATCCCAGCACTCAGGAGGCAAAAGCAGACTGGTCTCTATGAGTTTGAGTCCAGACTGAACCATAGAGTGAGTTCTAGGACAACCAGAGCTACATAGTGAGACCCTGACTTGAAAACAAAACAACAACAAACAAAACCCCCAAGAGTTATTTATGTGCCTTTTGAAACTTGAGATGTTACCTTGTTAAGTGTAGGAGACCACATGTAAACTTTGCCTTCTGCATGATTTTTAATCAATGTATTTTTAAAACTGAATGTCAGCTATGATCCTATAATAAAATTATTTTTACAATCTATGGTTATGAAGAATTAATAGCAGTTGATGAAAAACTTGGAGTTTTTAGATGAAAGAATTGGAAAAGATTTTTATTTTCAACTACTGAAATAACTAAAAGCAAACAACTGAAAGATGGTCCTGGTGACAGTGAATGATCTCCTCAGTCTAGGACTGTGTACAGTCCTCAGCACTCTCACTGTACTCTCACAGAAGCCGACGAGGCATGGTCGGAAGTCCAGCAACTCTCTGGGTGCATATTATTCTTATGGACTGCTCTGCCATAAATACTTTTTGAAGGGCTGGAGAGATGGCTCAGTGGTTAAGAGCACTGACTGCTCTTCCAGAGGTCCTGAGTTCAAATCCCAGCAACCACATGGTGGCTCACAACCATCGGTAATGAGATTGGATGCCCTCTTCTGGTGTGTCTGAAGACAGCGATAGTGTACTCATAAATAAAATAAATAAATAAATCTTTAAAAAAAAATACTTTTTGAAAAGAGGATATGGGGAACGGTGGGCACGCATGGAGGTGAGCAGAGTCTGGGGAGCGGTGGGCACGCATGGAGGTGAGCAGAGTCTGGGGAAGCGGTGGGCACGCGTGGAGGTGA